TCTGAACTTGAAGTATTCTATGATGCTCCCTTTGTTGGGAAAAAGCAAACAAGTGTCAGTCTTGTTTGCTTTCTGCAGCTTCAGAATAGACGGAGTCTTTCTCCTAGGCAACTGACATTCCTTGATCTTCAAATCAGCCTTGAGAACTATCCTCCCTCTATTTTCATGGATATTTACATCATAGGAAATTATATTAAAAAAAAAAATCTCTCAGGGTATTATCACTCCTTCAGAACGCAAAGCATAAATACCTAAATTTATCAGCTAGGCAGCTCACCCAACAATATTACATGTGTTACTATTTCCCGGTTTATAGCTGGGAAAACTGAATGACTGCTTTGGATTTCAGAGATCCTAAGTGCCCAGCTGTTTATTCCAGGGCTTGGCTTCTTATATTTAGCATGGGGGCAAAAAAACTCAGGCTCAGTGATTTGATTCACGGATAATCCCAGAGATAGTAAATAACACAATTAAATCCAGGTGACTCATATGATAAAGAATTTACATGCAATGCAAGAGACCTGGGTTCGATCCAGGGGTGGGGAAAATCCTCTGGAGAAGGGAATGGCAACCCACTCTAGTATTCTTGCCTGGAGAATTCTTATGGACAGAGGAGTCTGGTGGACTATGGTTCATGGGGTGACAAAGAGCCAAACATGACTGAGAGAATAACCATAGTGGGGCCTGAGTCACACACATCAAGGTGCAAATTGGCTCCCACAGGTAAGATGACTTGTCTAAGCTACTTTTTACAACAGTATTTCTTGAGCAGTCTTTCACATCATGTGCTCCCAGAAACCCTTACATAAGAATCTCTCCAGTCCAGGTTGGATGCATGAGACAAGTGCTCGGGGCTGGTGCACTGGGATGACCCAAAGGGATGGGATGGGGCGGGAGGTGGGAGGGGGGTTCAGGATGGGGAACACATGTAAATCCATGGCTCATTCATGTCAATGTATGGCAAAAACCACTACAATATTGTAAAGTAGTTAGCCTCCAACTAATAAAAATAAATGGAAAAAAAATTTAAAAAATAAAAAACTTAAAAAAAAACAACTCCCGAAAGAAAAGTGAAAGTGTTAGTCACTCAGTTCTGTCCCACTCTTTGCAACACCATGAACTGTAGCCTGCCAGGCTCCTTTGTCCATGGAATTCTCCAGGCAAGAATACTGGAATGGGTTGCCATCCCCTTCTCCAGGGGATCTTCCTGACCCAGGAATGAAGCCGGAGTCCCCTGCATTGCTGGCGGATTGTTTACCAGCTGAGCTACCAATGAAGCCTTCCCTTCTCCTACATACTATTAAATAATGCAGTTTCCTGGGATGCACCCTAGCATTCAGGTTAGATTCCTGAAATCGCGTTATTTATTTATTTATTTGCCACTACACACTGCTTGCGGAGAAGGCAATGGCACCCCACTCCAGTACTCTTGCCTGGAAAATCCCATGGACGAAGAAGCCTGATAGGCTGCAATCCATGGGGTCGCTAAGAGTCGGGCATGACTGAGTGACTTACTTTCACTTTTCATTTTCATGCATTGGAGAAGGAAATGGCAACCACTCCAGTGTTCTTGCCTGGAGAATCCCAGGGACGGCGGAGCCTGGTGGGCTGCCGTCTATGGGGTCGCACAGAGTCGGACACGACTGAAGCGACTTAGCAGCAGCAGCAGCACACCGCTTGTGAGGTCTTAGGTCCCCCACCAGGTATGGAACCTGCACCACCCCCACCCCACCCCCAAGATGCTCTGTTCCCCCAAGTGGAAGGCGGGAGTCTTAAACCACCAGACTGCCAGGAAGATTCTCAGTCATGATTTTAAAGGATTTGCTTCTACTGAGTCATGATAGATTTCAGCTTTGTTTCCTTTTCCTCGTCTTGATTTCAACACAGCTTCACTTTCCATTTCTTCTTCTGTTTCATAAAGGCAATCACTCAGAAACTGAGAGAAAGCATCAGCTGACTCATTCTCCCCACCCCACTTCCCTTTTAATAGCTCCTTCAGTCTTTACTTGAGGCAGACTCGGAAGAGTTCTGAAGAGCAAATCAGCTTGGACCCCAGCTATTCAGAACAGCAGAGAGCAGATCGCCATCATGAGGTCAGTGAGATAAGATGCAGGCGGCCTCAATGTTGAATGCAAATTGTAAGCCGAGCTTCTCGAGTGCAGGCAGGTTCCAGAGTTTGCCCTGTGCTTGTGGACTAAAGTTCCTGTATCAGTATGGGCACCTTTTATTTCTGTGACTTTTTCTGGTGTGTGCACTCAGACTCCCTAAGCTTCACGGGGAGGGGCTGGGAGGTCGGAGCTGGATGAGAGGGAGGCTTGGCAGGAGTGATTAGATCCAGTCAGGCACTAAGTTTACAGATTCAAATTTAGATCTAAGCGAATTACTCTTTGGGGGGCTTTTCTGTTGTTTTCTTTAAAAGAATGAAGAGGGTTTCTTTTTGTCATTCTAAAAGGAAGCATTTCTTTTCAGCAGATGTTATTAAAGATGAAGTTGGTAGCACAAAGCCAAGTCATGTTGGAAATTCTGCCCTGAAAATTTGATCACTTCAAGATGGGAAGTGGAAAAAACAATCCTTACAGATGGACTTTTTTTTCCATTTCTTATATGAAAACAAACCCGAAGCTTAGAGTTTATTTTTATTGCTGTAATGAGAGCTTGTGAGCAACAGAAAATAATTTTTCTCCAAAACCTAAGGACATAATCGCTTTCCTGTGTGTGTGTGCTTAGTCACTCAGTTGTGTCCGACTCTTTGCAACCCCATGGACCGTAGCCCGCCAGGCTCCTCTGTCCATGGGGATTCTCCAGGCAAGAATACTAGAGTGGGTTGCCATGTCCTCCGGGGCCTCTTCCCAACTCAGGGATCGAACCCAGGTCTCCCAGTTTCTTTCCTAGTACTGATCTAATTTCTAATGAATGAAAGCACAGCAATGATTGCCTGTGGATGGTGGAGGGTGGGATTGGGTTTGACTAGCAGGGCACGCCAGGGATGGTACAAATAGCCTACAAGAAGGTAGTGGTGGTGGTTACATGGGTATATCCATTTGTCAGAATTCATCAAGTACACTTTAAGTGGGTACATTTTAGTATATGTGAAGTATAATCTTGGTAAACTTGATTTTAAAAGATGTGCATAGATCTGCCTGAGTTCTACCATCAGATAGAGCCTCAGGAAAGAGACAGCCGGAAAAAAGGGAAAACTTTCCCATCAAGCACCAATGGGAGGGAATTGAGAAACCGACGGACTGGGGAGGGGGCATCCTAGTGACCGTTCAGGGAGCAAGCACAAGGAGCCCAGGGCCCCCAGACGCTCTGCAGGCCTGTACCTGGGGATGGTGGCTAGAGGGATTCACCGCCAAATGCCCAGACCGCCTTCCCTGTATGACGGGCTCCAGTTATGAGTGTGTGAACGGTGTCTGCATTAAGTGAGTTGACCAGAAAAACCCAGCCCTGCCCTGTGCCTTGGTATCCCGTCTGCCTGAGAAGTTTGGCAGTGACCTGTGCTTGGGTGTGTCCAAAGCCACCGACCCAAGGAATTCTGAGAGAGGCTCTCTGGACTATGGTGGACTGAAGCCCACTGACCCAAAGAATTCTGAGAGAGGCTCTCTGGACTATGGTGGACTGAAGCCCACATCAACGTGCCTGTTCCCAGTTGTTGTCGTTTAATTGCTCAGTCATGTCCGACTCTTTTGCAACCCATGGACTACAGACTATAGCCTGTCAGACTCCTCTGTCTGTGGAATTTTCCCAGGCAAGAATACTGGAGTGGGTTGTCATTTTCTTCTCCAGGGGATCTTCCCGACCCAAGGATGGAACCTGGGTCTCTTGCTTGGCAGATGGGTTCTTTACCACTGAGCCACCAGGGAAACCCTGTTCCCAGAGGCTGTGATAAAAATTGCCAAACTGGGAAGCCACCTGGGGAAACACCTCATACCTGTGGGCTGACTGATGAGTGCCTTCGTCTGCCCAATCCACTGTGGAACTGTTGGTCCCCTTGCACATGCAGAATTCACTTAAAATGATAACACTGATATGCCAGTGACCATAGCAGTAACAGTTTTAATGTGATCAGTAGTTGTCAAGAGGTCTACACGCCTTATATCATCCTACCAATACCGCAGGAAGGGAACCCTATTATTTTTCACTAGCCTCATTTTGTAGATGAGAAAAATGGGTCTCAGAGGGAAAATTACTTGGCCAAGAGGTCACATAAAAAGTAGGTGTCAGAGCATGGTCATTATTCAGGAGACACACTCCAGTGCTAAGCATCTTCTGACTCTGGTCAATGGGGCAAAATGTCTTCATCATGCTTATGTTAGAGAGGAAGGGCAGGGACTGGAAGGTCTAGGCCCTTGGGGTCCCTAGTTGGAGAGGGAGGACTATTCCTTTGAGTGCTCAGAACCATGCCTTAGATAAGGGTAAAAGTGGATCTCCCTAGGGCACGGTCTCCTATCATCTGGTTGCAAGAAAAAAAAGATAATTTAGAAGATATCTTCTAAAATGGCCTGGAATAAATTATAATTATGCTGATTCGGTGTTTGTTAATAGATTAAATATGTATTTCTTAATTTGATAATAAATCTATCTTACCAGTTCATGCATTTTCATTTCTGTGGCTCTTTCTGATCTACAGAGTCAGGTGCTGAGGACATCCTCCCAGCAGAGCCAGCATCTGGTAGCTGAGAAGGGATGGGAGCTGAGGAAATGAGGCTAAGTGATGTGATTCAAGAACTTTCCCAGAGGCTGGTCAAAGAGAAGACTGAAATCCAAGCTTTCTGGGGTTATTTTCCTCTCTTCCAGATTGTCTGACTCACTGTTTGATACATTACATGATCCCTCATAAGTAAATGGGAAACTTTTCAAAATACCTCCAGGGACTTCCCTGGCGGTCCAGTGGGTAAGACTCCACGTTTCCACTGCAGGGAGCATGGGTTTGATCCCCCAGGGAACTAAGATCCCACAGGCCACACAGCCGAAAACCCCAAACCAAAACAAAATAAAGGAGCTCCAGGACTATGCTCCTCAAAATGTGATACAGGGACTCCTGCAACAGAACTTCCAGGATGCCTGTTAAAATGCAGAGTGCTGAGCCCAGGTCCACCCCCAGGCTGCATCTGAGTCTCTGGGAAAGAGCCTGTAATATGCACAGCATCCACAATGCCTTCTTTCAAACTTACAAGCAGTTACAGAAGCTGTGTAGAAGGGCACTCCCAGCAGGGAACTGAGCTCAGCTCTGCATATTCAGTTTCAGTTTCTCCTCGGCAGGAATCTCACTAGCACTGCCTCAGTTTTGTTTTCCTTTTCTGTTTTATAAAAGCACAGACCTAGCAGCTAGCATCCTGAGTGGGAACCTCCTCTGCATTTGCTTGTGATCCACAAGCAGAAAATAAAAACCTGCCTGAACCCCAGCTTCTCAGAATTGCAGGAAACAGCCATCATGAGGTAAATATTCTCTGCTTCTCTGATAGGAAGTTGAGAATCTCGTCCAAATCTTGAGGGCGATGTCCTGAAGTATGCTAATCCAGTGTTTGCCAATAGATCACACATGCATTACACTCATTAGATCGTAAATCTCTTGCCGTGCACTTTTATCTCTGTGGCTCTTCCTATACAGAGTCAGGAGCTAAGAGCTTCCTCCCAGCAGAGATAGCAGCCGGTGGCTGGGAGGAATGGGGGGGTTAAGACAGCCTATGAGGGCGTGCTCAGATCCCTTCAGCAGCAAAATCTGCTCCTTGGGAGCTGGGGCCTGGAGGAACGTTGCTAGGCGGGCCCTGTTCCTTCTTTTGTTTCTATATTTGAAAGGACTAAATCAGAGGTTTGTGTGTTTTGTTGTGGCTATCCTGGTCATTTTTAAAGCATTTCCTTCTCAGGAAATGTGCTAAGGATTAGTTCAGTGCTGTAAAACTTCATGACAAGACTGTTTTTGCCTTGAAATCTGCCCTTTCGGGACTGGGGAATATGTCTCTCTGAACGGTCTTCTTACTGACCTTCTAGACAGGGAGTAAGTGTCTCAGAGACACAACTTAGTGACTAAAAAAACAACAACTATATACATATATATGTGTATATGTATATGTGTGTGTGTGTGTGTGTGTGTGTGTAGAGAAAGAGAGAGAAATTATTTAAAGCAACTTGCAAAAACACATGAGCTAAAGGAGTAACTGAGGATACTTTGGCAAGTGGAGTATTGGTTTTTGAAAAGACAACGGTATTTTTTTAAATTAAGTCAGAATTATCTTCAAATGTTTTATTTTGATCTACTCAAATATGTTAACATTTTCATAAACATCAATTACATATGACACATGTAAACATATCAACTAACATACAGTTAATATGTAATAAAAAAACAAAAGATTTTGGGGGGAACTGAGTATTTCATGTACCTAAACTATATAGAAGTGACCAGAATGTCTAAGATAATTCTTTTTTAAAATGTTTATAATTGATATATAAAACTGTAAGATACTGAAAGTGCACACTCTAGTGATTTGATATACATATACGTTGTGAAAGGATTCCCCCATCTAGTTAATTAACATATCCATCACCTCATATTTTTTTTTTGGGGGGGTGAGACCATTTAAATTCTACTCTCTTAGCAGATTTCAACTATACAATAGTGTTATCAAGTGTGATCACCATGTTTCACATTAGCTCCTCCAACCATATTCATCTTATAACTGAAAGTTTGTATTCTTTCACCAACCTCTCCTTATTTCCCCCTATTTCTTTTGTATATTTATCATAAATTTTTGCTTTGTGGTTACAATGAGGCTTTTTACAAAACATCTTATAATAGTCTATTTCAAGCTGAGAGCAAGTTCAAACACATACTAAAACTCTACCTTTTTAACTCTCTCCTCCTCCCATAGTTTATATTTTTGTTGGCACAATTTGTATATTTTTACCTAGTGTGTACATTAACAAATTACTGTAGTTATAGTTATTTTTAAAACTTTTTAGTTTTAATCACTAGATTCACAAATGATTCACCCACTAAGGCAACAGTATTTTTTTTTTTTTTATATTTTATTGCTTACCTGTAACCAAACCCTTCTCCCAGCTGTGTAACCTTCTCTCAGTATTCAAGCACATTGCTGCTGCTGCTGCTGCTGCTGCTAGCCACTTCAGTCGTATCCGACTCTGTGTGATCCCATAGACGGCAGCCCACCAGGCTCCCCCATTCCTGGGATTCTCCAGGCAAGAACACTGGAGTGGGTTGCTATTTCCTTCTCCAATGCATGAAAGTGAAAAGTGAAAGTGAAGTCGCTCAGTCATGCCCGACTCTTAGCGACCCCATGGGCTGCAGCCTACCAGCCTCCTCCATCCATGGGATTTTCCAGGCAAGAGTACTGGAGTGGGGTGCCATTGCCTTCTCCGAAGGCAACAGTATTTTAACGCTAACCCCCGTGACACTGGCTCTGGGTTTCATGTTTTCTTCTTATCCAGATCTCAGGACTCCCAACCCAATATACTTTGCTCTAAATCATACTTCCAGAGGAGATCAGGTAGCAAATATCTAAGCAAACTGGCAACCCAGGGCGGAAGGCTTAGGGAAAATCAACAGAGCTGATTTCCAACATTCAATAGATTTTGTAATCATGAAGCCACATACAGAGCTGGCTACCCTTTTGAATAAACTGTTCAGCATTACCACACATTTCTTAACATGGCCAGCTTTAGCACTGGTGAACTCGTGGTACGGATGGAATATCCCCAGGAGTTCCATACTCCAGGCTCTCTCACAGGTTTAGGAATATTGAGTGGGCTTTTCTGCTTGCCCTACTTTCTTGACAATTGAGATCTTCTGAAGTTTATGACAAGACTGGAATATGTTTCATCTTGGAAAAAGAATCTTTACCAATCAGTGCTTTTAAACTTGATTTGCAAAGATCCCTCTGGTTCATCAAAGCCTGCTGTCTGCCCCTACGGTGCACCCCCACTACTACCCTTGGGGGGAAAAACGTGTTATCAGACTGGCAAGGTGATTTCTGGTTCTGCTGAAATGAAAACATCCAAGGTCACCTGTCTTTCTGCAGACTCACTGAGAAGTTGGATGTATATTCTCTGTTAATCCTTAGAGTATTCAGCTGTTGTTCTCAGGCACTTAGATAATACCTACAAATCTGCAGACACATTTTATTGATCTGAAACTCATGCTTTTTTTCCCTCTAAACTTCCTAATTGGGCAGTCAGCAAAGTTAACATGTGTTGAAACACTGAAATGCCTTTATAATGCGTTAATTGCATAACAGCTATAGACAGATTTGTTCATTGATTATCTTTATAATCAATATTATTTATTGATTATATTTATTTTCTAATATTGCTACACTTGATCAATACTGCTAACCTGAGTTTAGACCTACTGTCCTTCATACACGGCAGCTAGAATCCCCAGGAGAAGCCAAATTGAAAAACCCTAAATGGAGAGGGAAGATTTTAGCACTGTGGTGCTCTAGCAAGGGACCAAGACAGTGAAAAGGACTGCCCAGAAAAGAGGCACATACATAAAGGGATGTCTGCATAGACAACACTCCTCGCTTGCCTTACCTTGGGTTGATTCCCTTGCCTCTGCCTCTCTCACTGTAAAGCACGCCGCATGCAGTCACACTGCGTCACAAATGGCTTAGGTGAACACTGCGGGAGAGAGACAGGAAGTTGATCAGAGCCCTGGCAGCAGTGGTGTGTGGGCCACTGCTGAAAAGTGACAGTGAAAGTCACTCAGTCATGTAGGACTCTTTGTGACCCCATGAACGACACAGTCCATGGATTTATCCAGGCCAGAATACTGGAGTGGGTAGCCTTTCACTTCTCTAGGGAATCTTCCCAACCCAGGGTTCGAACCCAGGGCTCCCACATTGGGCTTCTCTGGTAGCTCAGCTGGTAAAGAATCCGCCTGAAATGCAGGAGACCCAGTTCAATTCCTGGGTTGGGAAGATCCCCTGGAGAAGGGAAAGGCTACCCACTCCAGTATTCTGGCCTGGAGAATTCCATGGACTGTATAGTCCATGGGGTNGGTTGGGAAGATCCCCTGGAGAAGGGAAAGGCTACCCACTCCAGTATTCTGGCCTGGAGAATTCCATGGACTGTATAGTCCATGGGGTCGCAAAGAGTCGGACACGGCTGAGTGACTTTCACTGCAAGGGCCAGTGCCGGGCCACGGTAAACTGCCAAATACAGTCAGTGGTTCCTCTTACAGAAAAATGCATTTGACAATTTAAAGAGCTTTCCTTTATTCGGAGGTTATAGTCTTACTTCTTCAGTGATAATAAAAGAGCTTCCTTTCCTTTTCTCTTTTTTAGATAAAATTTTAGCAAACACAGATGGTTGGTGCCTTTTCAGATGAATTTTCTCCCTAAGTCAGTGTTGCCAATAAGTTGGCAGCCCTGTTTGTTTCACAACAATTTTCCGAAACTCTGCTAGTCTGTGAAATCCGAAATTGTGGACAATGGTGGGTTTAATGATTCTGGAAGTTCTTTCCAATTTTATGGTGTCAATAATCTACTGATAAAACAGAAAGAGTACAACATCCATAAACTATACCCCAAGCCCTAGGAAAATATAGACATGAGAACACATTTTGAGAACTTAGGTAATTTATTTAACTAATTAAGGCAAGTGATTTCCCTTGGTATCTTCCAACTACAAAACACAAATGTGTCCATTTTGTCATTTTTCAAAACAAATTTATTCTCTCTGGGGATCTGGCCTGTTTAGAGTGACTGCTTCAATCAAACTGAAACCAGGCCTTCATGGGTCTTTGTGTCACTGTAGGGAGGTGTGGAAAAGAACAAAATCATGTAACACAGTGGCAAACATCCCTGGGCTTTTGTTTCTTTCTTTACATGGTTCCTAGCCAGACTGTGAGCTCTGAGGGTCAGAGATTACCTCTATTTTTCTCAGCATCCCTAAACACTACCAAAGTGACGCAGAGAGGTAACCTTGTGAAGGGTCACTGGATGGCTAAATAAACCTGACTTCATAACTGAAACAGGCAAGAGAGACCTCAGTTCCTCCATCTGTGGTGCTCTCCTCTTATCCACCTTAGTTAACCTACTTCCTGCGCAGCTGCTCACAGGACAGAAGGGATGGGCTTTGTGGGTTTCCTGAATAGACCATAGATGGAGAAAGGTAAATCTAGGAAGCAAGACAAAGTACCGTCTCCTCTGTCTTGGAAAACTTAGAGGTATGTATTAGTGAGAGCTACACACACATACTGCAGGTTGATGTCAGCCCCAACTCACAAAGGCTGGACACAGGCAAAAGGCATTTGCCAAATGCTGTTGTTCCAGGCTCTCCCCATGTGTTTGCTGGCCAAGAAGTAAACTATATTGAGCACTGCAGTGGTGGGAATCCATTCAGCCAGGGATAAACCTAAAGTTCCATTCTGGGTTCACTGCTGAAAAACATACAGAATAACATAGGAAAACCAGCTGAGATCAAATGTGTAAGCCCATTCCTGGTACCTTCCCACTTGAGCTCTGAGGAAAGCTGATGACCACAGTGCAAGGCAAAGCTGGTAGGTGGGCAACCGAGAATTCTCCGTCCCAGGAATCCATCCTACATTAAGGATGTAAAAGCTAAAAAAAAAATAGAAGACTTTAGTGAATTTTGAGCTCAAAACTGGTTTTTCTATGTTATTCTGTATGTGACACCAACATGGATCTTCAGCTTTATCCCTGTTCATTGTAAGGGAAGAAGTTGTATATAATTGGACACATTTTGGTTTACCCTCATTAAGAATTTTAACCTGTTTTTGTATGACTGCTACAATAATTTTGTAAAAATTTTATTTATTTATGGCTGTGCTGAATCTTCGTGGCTGTGGAGGCTTTTCTCTAGCTGCTGTGAGGGGGGCTACTTTCTCAGAGCATTGGCTGCTCTTGTTGAGGAGCATGGGCTCTAGGACATGTGGGTTTTAACAGTTGTGCCTCCTAGGGTCTAGAGCACAGGCTCAGTAGTTGTGGCGCAGGGGTTTAGATGCTCCACGGCATGTAGGATCTTCCTGGATGAAGGATAGAACCCGTGTCTCCTGCATTAAGAGCCAATACACTGAGCCACCAGGCAAGCCCAATAATTTTTAAACATATTTATTTTACCAGCTTAAAAAAAACCAAAACTTTTCAGGACAAATTTCTTATACTCTACTTATTTGTTCAAATAAAGATTCTCAGCTAATGTTGGTTAACATACACACACACACACACACACACACACACATATATATATAATGACAGAGACAGCATGAGGGCAACAGAGAGATTTACTCTAAGGAACTGGCTCAAGTGATTATGAAGGCTGAGACAGTCTATGATCCCCTGTCCATGAGCTGCAGATCCAGGGAAGCCAGTGGCATAAATCCAGTCTTGAGTCCAAAGACCTGAAAACTGGAGGGCTGACGGTATAAGTCACAGTCAGAAGGGAGGAGAAGACCAAAGTCCCAGCTCACGCAGACAGGCAGAGACAGCAAAGTGACCCTTCCTGGGCCTTTTTGTTCTACTCCGGCCTCCAACAGACTGGACGATGTCCAGTCACACTGGGGAGGGTAATCTGCTTTACTCAGCCAACTGATTCAAATGCTCTTCTCTTCTGGGAGCATCCTGGCAGGCATGACCAGAACATGTTTAACTTGATAGGCTGGACACCCCAGGGTGCAGTCAGGTAGCCACACAAAATAACCCGTACTTGCATCTCAGGGCACCATGCTTGGCAAGTGCACATCACAGTAACTGTGTTTACTTTCTCCACAGTGAGGACAACAAGAATTCTCTGGAGCAAATCCTTCCACAGCTGAAATGCCATTTCACGTGGAACTTATTTAAGGAAGAAACTGTCTCTCATGACCTCGAAGACAGAGTGTGTAACCAGATTGAATTTTTAAACTCTGAGTTCAAAGCTACAAAGTACAACTTGTTGGCCTACATAAAACACTTAAAGGGTCAAAACAAAGCAGCCCTGGAATGCTTACAGCAAGCCGAAGAGTGCATCCAGCAAGAGTACGATGACCAGGCAGAGGTCAGAAGCCTGGTCACCTGGGGAAACTACGCCTGGGTCTACTATCACCTGGGAAGATTCGCAGAAGCTCAGCTTTATGTTGACAAGGTGAAACAAGTCTGCCAGAAGTTCTCAAATCCTTACAGTATTGAATGTCCTGAGCTGGACTGTGAAGAAGGGTGGACACTGGTAAAGTGTGGTGGGAAAAAAATTGAAAGGGCAAAGGTGTATTTTCAGAAGGCTCTGGAAGAGAAACCTAACAACCCGGAATTCTCCTCTGGACTGGCCATCGCAATGTACTACCTGGATGACAGGCCAGAGCAGAAGTCCTCTGTGGGCATTCTGAAGCAGGCCGTTGAACTGAGTCCTGACAATCAGTACATCAAAGTTCTCCTGGCCCTGACGCTGCAGAAGATGAATGAACAAGCTGAAGGGGAACAGCTGGTTGCAGAGGCTCTGGAAAAAGCTCCTTGTCAAATAGATGTCCTTCGCAGTGCAGCCAAATTTTACCAAGGAAAAGGTGATCTAGACAAAGCAATTGAATTGTTGCTAAGGGCACTGGAATCCATACCAAACAATGCCTACCTCTATCACCAGATTGCATGCTGCTATATGGAAAAAGTCAAACAAATTCAACATACAGGAGAATCTGAAGCTAGTGGAAATGGAGAGAAGATTGAAGAACTAAGGGAACATGCTAGAAACTATATGAATAAAGCGATTGAGAAGGGACTAAATCCTCTGCATGCATATTCTGATGAGTTCCTGGAAAATGAAGAATGTTATCAGACAGCTTTCAGTAAGGAGCTCCCAAGCACCAAGGAGGAAGAGCTCCATCAGCACGATTGCAATCCTCAGGAGGATCGTGAGATATCTGAAGACACTGCAGTCCAATGTTCTTTAGACGGTTTACCCATAAGCACAAAATCAACTGAGAAAGAAAAGACGAAATTCCAGCTACAGAATGTAGCTAAAAACCGGCTACCACAGAATGTAGCATATTCTTGGTCTCTCCAAGGCTTAATTCACAAGATGAATGAAGAGCTGCTGCAGGCGGCTGAATGCTATGAGAAGGCACTGGGCCACCTCCTAAGGAACAGCCCTTCGGGCATAGGTAGCGTTTTCCTGCCATCAACTGAGCGTGAAGAAGGCAGTGAGGAAATGGAGCAGGATGCAGACAGCTCTATACTCAGAGAGCTTCCCGACCCCTGAGCTGAGACAGAGAGGAAGAAAAGGAAGAGAAAGTCAGGGAGCGGGAAGACTGACATTGTAGGGAGGGGGCTGGGAAAGCACATCCCCAATCTGAGCTTACTGAGCAAGATGGTCCTGCTTATCGTTTTAAGGCATGTTTCTAGAGAGTAGCTTGCTCACGACTGTCTTCCCTGTCCATACCAGCTACACACAGTTCTCTGGCCTGCAGGTCTTAAACTGCCAGCAGAAACAGTGCTTCAGGCCTGCATGAGGCATTCCGTTCTCCAGACAGCCCTGTGTCTGCCCTTCTTGCCAAGGTCATAACTGGCGACTATCAACATAATCTCATGCTCTTCATCCCATTATTATCCAGGCTTCTGGGCCCCCTGGAAGACTAGCTTCTGACCAACCCTGAAATGTTCTTTATGTCTTGCTTTTGGCTTCAGCTATATGTGATTTTTGTTAGTGATACTACAATAAATGTATATTGTTGATTTGCTGTTGTTGTTTAGTCGCTGTATCCAACTCTTCTGTGAGCCCACGGACTGCAGTCCCACCAGGCTCCTCTGTTCATGGAATTTCCCAGGCAAGAATACTGGAGTGGGTTGCCATTTCCTCCTCCAGGGGAATCTTTCCAATCCAGGGATAGAACCCGTGTCTCCTGCATTGCAGGTGGATTCTTTACCACTGAGCCATCTAAGAAACCAATATGCTTGATAGTAACACTATAATCAATTTTAAAATTTCAACTTGGGATAGATTTAATTGTATGGTTTGTGTGTGTGTGTGACTAAGAGTAACATCAGTTCTCAAGCTTTCTCTTACAATGGATGGTAAGTAATTGCCACAGCCATCCTAGGCTATTCTCAACACACCCATTTTAGCTTCTCTTTGGCACTAATACCCTCACCCTGTAGCCAGTCCATCTGTGGGCTCTGGGAACTGGGACTCTCATTCCAGCCCAGGGGCCTCAGCTGGGCCCAGTGCCCAGTGAGCATCTACTGCTGTAGACCAAGGTGCACCAGAGTGTGAAGGGTACCAAGACTAGGCTGGCCAAAGATCTTTAACCTCCAGGGTGAATGAAAACATTCAAGTATTCTCCTCTCAGCTGGGAATCCACAAGGGCTGTTTGCTTCGTGCAACCAAGTGATGGACCAAGACCCCTATCAACCTCCACTCAACCCACTAAAAGGCTGGTGCTCATAAACTTTTCCAGTGATATCCTCTGATTGACTGTGTGCAGAGGAAAATTGTTAAAGTAATATGCCAGATCCCAGAGAAGACAGAAGTACTGGCATTCCCACTTGGACTGTGAGTAGAAAGCCAGAAAGCTGAATCTTTGTCATGCAGCAGAGGAATCTGGCTGTAGGAGCAGCAGACTTCGGTGAGGGTGCCCCCCACCCCTGAGTTATCTGCTGGCCCCACCAAGGCTGGGGAGCCATTAGGTGTCCAGCAGTGAACTCTTGACTCCAGGCCAGCCCTGACCTGGAGCAGCACTGTCTCGTGTGACCAGTTCCAGAGGGGACACTGGGCCCCTATGGGGGTATGACCATGGAGACTAACCCTGAAAGCCTGATTGAAGCAGAAGAATGATTGGGGATGAAGGCAGGGACTGGCTATTTCTTGCCCTCAAAGATAGCTAGAGCTCTGGGGTAGGCGAGAAATTACCTATCTTTATGCCAACACATAGGGACTTCCCTGATAACTCAGCTGGTAAAGAGTCCTCCTGCAATGCGGGAGACCTAGGTTTGATCCCTAGGTTGGGAAGATCCCCTGGAGATGGGAACAGCTATCCACTCCAGTATTCTGGTCCGGAGAATTCCACGAACTGTATAGTTCATGAGGTCGCAAAGAGTCGGACACGACTGAGCGACTTTCACTCATTTCACATGCCAACACATATACTCAAGGACACAAAGAGTTTGGATACCCAGGGGAAATTGGAGGCTTTCTGCACAGCTATTCCAACAGGGGTACCTAGTCCCATCCTCAGACTATATAGGTAGCTGACTCACAGAAGGATCATGGACACTGCCCAAAGCTGTCCCTCTGCACTCGGAGGGAGTCTCATTCACCCTCCAGATGGTGCTGAGGCTTCCCAGAAAACGCAGCTGACTGGTCCTGACCTACAAACTGGGCTGTGATTTATTTTTTGCCTGGATAATGTTATTGAAAAGATGCCTGCACAGCGACAATCTACCTTTGTCCAAGAACACATCCTCAACCCGCGTTTCCTGGTGTGTGACTCTGATCTCACAGGTCTTTGCCTCGAGAGACACAGAAGGAGTCACATGAACCGCTGGTGTTCACTGTCATCGGCTCCTTCTTACTACCTGGGGCCATACTCAGTGTTACCCAATTAGTACCCAGTGGGGACTTCCAGATCAATGCCATTTTACCTCCACCCTGACGGTCACAAATATCTGTACGGCAGGTTTGTCTTGCTGTCACATAGCATGTCCCGGGAGCTTCTAAGACTGTCCACAGAAAGACATTTGGAGGAGTGGGGTAAACCTCCACAAAGGCAATCACCGACCTCTCCCCTAAAGTGTGTCAGATCAAGGAGGCAGGGACTCCATCTCCTTTGCTCACAACTGTGTGTGCATCCCCCACAACAATGCCTGGAATGAATTAGACTTAAAAATTTTTGATGAGCGAAGGAAAGTGTGTGCATGCTCAGTTGGTTCAGTTATGTCCGACTCTTTGAAACCCTATGGACTGTAGCCAGCCAGGCTCCTCTACCGGGGTCTAGCCTCGGCAGGATCCAGGGGGTACCCTCAGGATGAATGGCGTCGGCGAGAGAAAGACGTGTGAGATCAGCCTTGATAGGGCCAAGTCTGCGAGGGAGAGAGAGAGAGAGAGAGAGAGAGTGACCAGACGGGGGGTGCAGCATAGTCTGGCAGGGCCTGGCCATGCTTTATTTTTTACCGTAGCTTTTGTACCCTAAATTAGTACATTTCTAAGGGGAAGATAGTTTAACATTACATCAGCTTGTCCTTCACGAAACCAGGGTGTTTTCTGCATACTTTTTTTTGTTTATGAGGGTCTTGTACATTATTTTCTGGCCTTGGGGCCTATTAACATTTTATGCAAGTCAAGTGAATGTAAACCTATTTTCTGTTTTTATGGTGACCTTAACTGAAAGGTTACAATCTCACAGGGCAACAGTACAGCATGTCACAACATAGTAGAAGTATAACCTTGTTAATAGAAAAGTCAATTCTTCTGCAGAAGTTGTCAGATGAATTTATCTAAGAGGTTTACCCCACCCAGACTCTGTGGCTTCAGTGAGGCAGCTTCTGCCTAGCACTCCTGGCTGACAATTAGCAACCATCTCATTGTTACCACACTAGGGCTAAGCTCTTATTTTTCTAGATTTTTAACTATATTAACAATGGTTTCCATAACACAACCTTAGCACATTAAGAGCAAAAACACAGCAAGCAAATGTTAACCCAATAACCACCTTTAGAATAATTTTTCTTATGTTTTCTAATAGGACTCCTTCACCCCCCAAAAAGGCTCTACGTCTATTAGGGCCTTTATATGATCAGGTTCTTTATGCTGTTTTATGATTAGGGTATTATGAGCAGTTATGCATATTAGTACGAAGGGCATAAACGCATTTGCCAAACAAACTAAAATACCAGCAAAGGAGTTTAAATTAAAACACTCCTTTCACCCTGGATAATCTCATAAAATACCACCACGTGGGAAACTTATTGATTAAAGTTCTAAATTGATTCTTTTTTGGAAAGAGATCGGGGAAGGCCTTCTGCCTGTGTCACAGAAATTAGGGAGTAGTCTACTGAAGCAAGCATCAGAAGGACAGATATCATCTTTAAGGTGAGCACTGGGGGCAGCTTTTCAGAATCCCTGAAAACCTGATCTGCCTTGCCTGTCAGGTTTTCTCCCTCATGACCTTGTCATGGGTGGGATCTCCTGTGCCGGCTCCCGGCACTCCTCTGTCCATGGGATTTCCCAGGTAAGGATACTGGAGTGGGTTGTCATTTTCTTCTCCAGGGGATCTTCCTGGCCCAGGGATTGAACTTGCATCTTCTACACTGGCAGGAGGGTTCTTTACCACTGAGCCCTCAGGGAAGCCCTCTAAGCCCATTGCCAGCACCTAAAACTGGTAGGGAAGTTACAAGGCTCAAAAAGGTTTAGTAACTAACTGAGGCCACACAGGAACAGAACTGGCAAAAAATGATTAAATAAAGGAGGAATGACGGGCGATGGCCTTGCAAATTGCCTTCTTTTCTGAAGATGTGATATAAAAGGCTTGAGAGTTTACACTACTATTAATTTTTTAAAAGATGTATTTTTCTCCAAACATTAGAAAACTGATATCCTCAATATCACCACAGTAATAGCCATTACCATATGTAAATGCTTAACATGCAGACTTCAAGACTCCCAGGTCTCCATGAATTTGACTTTAGAATGTGTTTCTATAGAGACAAGAAAGATCACTGGGGTTAGAGAATGGTCTCTGGTGTCAAGCTCCAGCTTGACTGATGAAGGATGTCTTGATGTTTTCTTCCTCTCTTCCCTGGCCTACTGAATGAAACTGCACCAATTCCAAACATCTTCCTCTCTGCAAAAGAGGATATTCATGACATTTTCTGGAAAAGGGACAGTTCAATTGAAGTATATTTCTAGATTAACAGCAGGCATGGCTGCCTACCACCACTCCTTTGCTTGTCATTCCAAATCAAACATCTAACAAGTTAAGAAAAGGGACTCGAAGGTAGCCATCTGCCAGTGAAGTGACAGTCAGATCTACTCCCTGACCCTGAGGATCTCTTTACTTGATTCAGTTTCAGAGTTTTTACAGCATCAGCACCTGGGTCCCTAAAACTGTTCCTGGCTCTGAATCATTGACTAACCTGGTCCTGACAGTTGTCCAAAATAAAACAGTATGTCAGAAATACAATTCCTGGGTAAAAGCAAGCAAAGTTGCTTTTCTAATGACGCCTGTATTCTGTATATATTCTGGACCCAGCATCCCATCTTCTCAAACCTTGAACTGATAATGGCTCAACAAACCAGTACATCTTACTCATGGAAATGTTTTTCTTCAACTGTGTTAACGAAACTATGCATTTGCTTGGAAATCTGCCTTTCTTCAAGATTCATGTCAATTGTGTTATGGCCTGAGATGACTCCCCTTGTGCCATTCTATCTAAAAATGCATGTTGTGGGAGAGGGGCCTGGTGCAACTCTCTCAGTCTTGAGGTGTTTCTTTTATCTGATTAGCAGCTTGCTAACAGGTATAAAACACCTTGCTAAAAACTATCAAGGGGGCACTCTTTCTGTTCCCTTCTGATGTCTATGTCAGAAGCTCTCTCTATCTCTTTTTATACTTTAATAAAACTCTGCTACACAAAAGCTCTGAGTGATCAAGGCTTGTCTCTGGCCCCAGATCAAATTCCTCTAATCTGGAGGCCACGAATCCTGGGGTCATTCACGGCTCTCAGCCACAACCTTTCAC